TGCACACGGGACACTGGAGCCCGAGGTGGCGTCACAGACGGCTCACGGCGTCCCACGTGCACACGGGACACTGGAGCCCGAGGTGGCGTCACAGATGGCTCACGGCGTCCCATGTGCACACGGGACACTGGAGCCCGAGGTGGCATCACAGATGGCTCACGGCGTCCCACGTGCACACGGGACAGTCGAGCCTGAGGTGGCGTCACAGACGGCTCACGGCGTCCCACGTGCACACGGGGACAGTCGAGCGTGAGGTGGCGTCACAGACGGCTCACAGCATCCTATGTGAACTTCTCACCCTAGCCACACTGTCTTCACCCTATTTACCCAGGAACACGCCCCAAACAGGGTAGGGAGCACATTCTAACGCCGAGAGGGAGTCTACAGTTGGCTCACCTTTGACCAGCCCATGAGAATGACCACTGAGCTTTCCAGCGGCCAGGGCTCGGGGGATGTCCCCTCCCTCGGCCACCCACCAGTACTATAAGTTCCTTACGCGCTGCACTCAGCTTCCTGGTCTATCAGCTGCCTGCCCTGCACCCTCCAAGAGTGAAGACCAGGTAAGTCTGTGGGGTGACAGCCCAGAGAACCTTCTGGTAATTGTGCAGTTCTGACACACTTGAATTACTCTGGACGATAGCACATTCCCGCCTCAAATGCTTCCCCAGCCCAGAACTTGGAGACCGTCAGTGCAGGAATGGTGCTGGAAGCCAAGGGGAGAGAGGACAGCTCGAGGCGAGGTCAGATGGCGGCCACTGCCTGGGGTGCGTGGAAGAAGAGGCAGCAAGGACGGAAGGTGGGAAAGACAAGTCAGAGAGTAAACAAGATCACGTTCAAAGGAACACAAGGGAAAATCATCCCCCGGTCCTCTGAGAACACGGTGAGGAATCAAGACATTTGAGACTCACGTGCACCCTGACATGTCCCAAGGAAGAGGGGGATGAGGAGGAGGGGCCGGAGGGGAGAAGGAAACGGGGAGAAGGAGGAGGGGGAAGAGGGAGGGGGGCTCCAGCCACTGCGTGCAGGAGCCCAGGCGTGGGGATGAAAGCCCACCAGGGCCAGCTACAGGGGTCCTTGAAGGCCATCCCTCCTTAGAGCACCTTCCCATCCAATGACACTCCTGTGGGCACACGCCTGTCCCAGCACCAGGACTGTGGGCTTCTCCTGGCAGGAGCCAGCTGGAGCGCACCTCAGTCGGCCAAGTGCCCAGCCCAGCGGACACAACAGAGCACACTCCCAGCCACACCCGCCACGCGGCCAGTGTGAAGACGGGCAGAGCACCGTCAGAGAGGGCAGAGTGCCACGGTCCCTGCACCCCGTCATGCACAGGACCCGGCAGGGAGGCCAAAGGCTGCGATGGCCCAGAAGAACTGACTGTGAGAGGGAAGGACAGACTGCAGCGATTGTTAACAGCAGGCCAGTCTGCGCATCTGAAATAAACACTTCACCGTCAAACCAAGAGACAAAGACTGACTGGGGAACCACCACGGCCCCCACCTCCTGCTGCTTCCCGGGTGGGTGGGAGGGCATTTCTGCTGTGGTCCTTGTGTCCCAGAGTGGGCAGCAGAGAAAGGCGGTGTCCTCGAGGCCAGTCTGGCCACTCTGCCTCGACATCACTGTGAGCACTGGCCAGAAAGCAGAGCGTATTTCAGAGGCGTGTTTTCCTGACATCAGGCAACCAAAGAAGAAAGACAACACACTTCAAATGGTTCACGTTTCTGTTAATGTAGAACTCCCACCCCACCCCGGCAGGGAGGCAGCACGAGGTGGGGGCCACGGCAAGGTTCCCCATTAGTCTTTGGAAATTCTCAGTAATATGGAAGCTCTTCATTACCTATCATAGTAACTGAATAAAGATATACACAACCTGTTTTTAATTAACTTTCCCTTAAGAAATTTATTACAGCACAGACCTTGGTAAACCCTGCAGACAGGTGCTACTGCCTGCCTTTGGAAGTCTGTTTCTTGAATAAAAACACATCAAGAACATGTTCAAAACAATACTAAATACACCCATTTCCTAAAACCAGCAAAGCGGAGGGAAAACACGTTAGCCACTGTTTCCCTGAGGGACAGTAATAGCTCAGGGGTAGCATTTGTGCCGTCCATGCAAGAGACCGGCCATCTCCTTCCAAAAGTCAGCCAATGAAAACTCTACAGAGCACAACAGACCAACCACGGTGCACGGGGTCACGATGAGTCAGGGCCCAACCCGACAGCAGTTAGCAACATCACGAGAAGGATGCCCTCCAAGGACGCACCTGGCTCGAAGACTCTGGTGATGTGTCAGGGGAAAGGCCTGTCTCGGGCTGTTTTACCCAGTCTATCCAAACTGTCGTTCAAACAGAACAAGGGGACACTGCGTGGTTTAAAACCAGGAGAGGTGTGCGTCAGGGTCGTATCCCTTCACCATACCTAGTCAATCTGTATGCTAGGCAAATAATCCAAGAAGCTGGACTATATGAAGAAGATCGGGGCATCAGGATTGGAGGAAGACTCATTAACAACCTGCATTATGCAGATGACACAACCTTGCTGCCAAAAGTGAAGAGGACGTGAACCACTTATTGATGAAGATCAAAGACCACAGCCTTCAGTATGGATTACACCTCAACAGAAAGAAAACAAAAGTCCTCACAACTGGACCAATAAGCAACATCGTGAAAAACGGAGAAAAGGTTGAAGTTGCCAAGGATTCATTTTACTTGGATCCACAATCGACGCCCATGGGAACAGCAGTCACGAAATCAAACGATGTCTTGCCCTGGGCTACAAAATACTGCTTAAAAGTGCTGAAAAGCAAAGATGTCCTGTGAGGGCTAAGGTGTGCCTGACCCAAGCCATAATATTTTCAACTGCCTCATATGCATGGAAAAGCTGGACAATGATTAAAGAAGACCAAAGGATTATTGATGTCTTTGAATTACGGTGTTAGCAAAGAATATTGACAACCCTTAACAAGATGAATTGACACAGCGACTGAAACAATGGACTTGAACACAGCAACGACTGTGAGAACAACGCAGGACTGGGCAGTGCTTCGTTCTGTTGTACATCGGGTCACTAGGAGTCAGAATCGACTTGACACACCTAACAACAACAAATCGCAAACTGACAGAAAGATGTGGACATCTGTATCTGAGGGAGAAACGTCTGCCATTCCCTCATCCAGAGGTGGAGCTTCCAAAGGGAGATATTCTCTCCTTAGGTGTCTCAGCACAATCAGAAGTTGATTTTGAAACATGAGGTAGTAACACCAACTAAGAACCATCTTCTCGTTTAACTCTACCACAAACCATTGTGGATTTTCACATACTACAAAGAGAGTGAAAATGGCAAAGTCCTTGAAGAGATATTCTAATGGCAAATTCTGGATGCACTGTGAATTGTTAAGTCAATTTGGAGTATTTTTCCCATTACACACACCGTTCGTCAACTGACTGCTCAGGACACCATAATTATACCCATTTTGTGTTAAATTAAGTAGCAAAATGATAAAGTGGCTTCTCCTTTCTTCGATCTAGATCATGTCCCTAACTGAGCCACAGAGCACACGTCCCCAATGCCCAGGGGAGCCCCTCTGTCTGGGTCTGATCCATGAGTGGTCTGGCCCCGGACCATCAGAACAGTCCTGTTTTCCTGACAGCAGCTCATGCCTCCCGGTCACTCACGACCAACGAGACACAAAACCCAAGAGCTCCCCTGGCAGATCCGGGACTGCTGATGAATCTCGCGCATCCATTTTGTGACTCCAATTAAAACCACCCTTTTTGTTTTTCTGTAAGGAACTGGAGACAAGCAAGGTACTGCTATCAGGGGAATTTCACCATTATTTGTTTGCAAATGTATTCATTTATTAAAAAATAAAAATCTGCGAACCAGTCAGGGTGACAAACATTTCCTCCTACACAGCATCCAGGCTAAAGTATTTCAACGGGCATATGAGAAAAGAAAAAAGGATGCCCACCTGTCTATACGTATCTTGGTGAACTTCATCATTCCTGGAATCATAATACTGCTCGACAAAAGCAAAATATTCTTTTTGTTTTCTCTGGAGAGTGGCTGGTCTTCGGTCTACATTGGCAGGAAGGTAGCCCTGGTGAGAAAGAAAAGCACTTCTGGTTACTGCTAACTCATGCAGTCTCTAATAAAAGTTTGAAATCAAAAACTCTTGAACAAACTTTGCATTCTGAAATTTCACAGGGAGGGGAGCACAAGTAAATGACTTGAGAAAAAGGAACAGACATAAAGAAGCCAGCTATACTGCTAACATCTCTCCCACTACCACTGAGCAAGGCCAAGGACCAGGCCCTTTGCAGCCGCCACCAAATCAATCAACTGTGCTCACAGCCATACAAGAGCCGGACTGGAATCTCTCCGTCAGGCATGTATTTAATACTCTCCTAGGACAACATTTAGACATGAAACAAACCCTTCTCCAAATGCCTCATACATCATGAAGAACTAGGAGTCTATATGATCTTACAACCCAAGAAAGAAAAAAAATACACATATATATCATCTCTGTATACTTTATATACATATATATATCTCTTATGTATTATACACACACACACACACACACACACACCCTCTCCTCACTTATCAACATGGTTAGGTTCCAAAGACCAGGTCGTTATATGAAATTGGCATTACGTGAAAATGGAGGATGATACCATTAGATCACAAAATGGAGGATGACTACATCATTACATCACTGCCAAACTGCATTATTACATAACTGCCGAACCACTGAGAAATTGGGCTCAGCAAAGTTGACACATAACCTTAACCATTATACACATAACCTTAAAAACTAGAGCCAGCATTACTCTCGTCTCGCACCTTGGGATTCGTTACTACCACATGTACATCGTTAATGTGCAAAGTATTTGGACAGCAGATTTTTTATTACAGTCATTAATGCAAACTGTCAGATAACGAGATTGTCAATAAGCGAGGAGAAGGTATACAGTTGTTGTGTGCAGTCGAGTCCATCTCGACTCATAGAGACCCTACAAGACAGAGCAGAACTGCACTATATGGTTTCCAAGGCTATAAATATTTACAGAAGTAGACTGCCACATTTTTTCCCACAGAGGTAGTGGGTTTGAACCAATGACCTTTCAGTTAACAGCCAAGCTCTTAACAACTGCACTCTCTCTTTCTGTATATGCATTGCTGTTGTTGTTAGGTGCCATCGAGTCAGTTACGACTCATACATGTGTGCGTGCGTGTGTGTGTGTGTGTGTGTGTGTGTATTGTTGCTGTTACATGACTTGGAGCTGGTTCTGACTTGGTGACCCTATGTACAACAGAACAAAACACTGCCCAGCCCAGCGCCATTCTCATGATCATTGTTATGCTTGAGCCCACTGTTGCAGCCACTGTGTCAACCCACCTCATTGAGGGTCTTCTTCTTTTCTGCTGACCCTCTACCAAGCATCATGTCCTCCTCCAGGGACTCATGCCTCCTGATAACATGTCCAAAGTAATGAGAAACAAACTCTCGCATCCTCACTTCTAAGGGGCATTCTGGCTGTACTTCTTCCAAGACAGATTTGTTCATTCTTCTGGCAGTCCACGGTATATTCAATATTTGTCGCCAATATCATAATTCGAAGGCATCAGTTCTTCTTTGGTCTTCCTTATTCTTTGCCCAGCTTTCACATGCTTATGAGGCGATTGAAAACATCATGGTTTGGGTCACATGCACCTTGGTCTAAAGGTGATATCTTTGTTTTCCAACACTTTAAACAGATCTTTTACAGCAGACTTGCCCAGTGCAATGCATCTTTTCATTTCTTGACTGCTGCTTCCATGTGTGTTGATTGTGGATCCAAGTAAAATGAAATCCTTGACAACGTCAATCTTTTTCCCATTTATCATGATGTTGCTTACTGGTCCAGTTGTGAGGATTTTTGTTTTCTTTATGTTAAGGTGTAATCCATACTGAATGCTGTGGTCTTTGATCTTCATCAGTAAATGCTTCAAATCCTCTTCACTTTCAACAAGCAAGATTGTGTCATCTGCGTAATACAGGTTGTTAATAAGTCCTCCTCCAATCTTGATGCCCTGTTCTTCTTCATATAGTCCAGCTTCTCAGATTATTTGCTCAGCATTCAGATTGAATAGGTATGGTGAAAAGATACAACCCTGACGCACACCTTTCCTGACTTTAAACCACGCAGTATCCTCTTGTTCAGTTCGAACAACTGCCTCTTGATCTATATACAGGTTCCTCACAAGCACAATCAAGTGTTCTGGAATTCCCATTCTTCACATTGTTATCCATAATTTGTTATGATCCACACAGCTGAATGTCTTTGCATAGTCAATAAAACACAGGTAAACATCTTTCTGGTATTCTCTGCTTTCAGCCAGGATCCATCTGACATCAGTAGTGATATCCCTGCTTCCACGTTCTATTCTGAATCAGGCCTGAATTTCTGGTAGCTCTCTGTCAATGTACTACTGCAGCTGCTTTTGAATGATCTTCAGCAAAATTTTACTTGCATGTGATATTATTGATACTGTTTAATAATTTCTGCTTTCAGTTAGATCACCTTTCTTGGGAACAGGCATAAATATGGATCTCTTCTAGTAGGTTGGCTAGGTAGCTGTCTTCCAAATTTCTTGGCATAAATGAGTGATCAGTTCCAGCGCTGCATCCATTTGTTGAAACATCTCAATTGGTATTTCATCAATTCCTGGAGCCTTGTTTTTCGCCAGTGCCTTCAGTGCAGCTTGGACTTCTTCTTTCAGTACCATCGGTTCTTGATCATATGTTACCTCCTGAAATGGCTGAACATTGACCAATTCTTTTTGGTTTAGAGACTGTGTATTCCTTCCATCTTGTTTTGATGCCTCCCGCATCATTTAATATTTTCCCCATAGTATCCTTCGATATTCTACTCAAGGCTTGAATTTTTTCTTCAGTTCTTTCAGCTTGACAAATGTCGAGCGTGTTCTTCCGTTTCAGTTTTCTAACTCTAGGTCTTTTCATACGTCATTATAACACTTTACTCTGTCTTCTCGAGCTGCCTTTTGAAATCTTCAGTTCAGCTCTTTTACTTCATCATTTCTTCCTTTCGCTTTAGCAACTCGACATTCAAGAGCAACTTTCAGAGTCTCTTCTGACATCTATTTTGGTCTTCTCTTTCTTTCCAGTCTTTTTAATGACCTCTTGCTTTCTTCATGTATGATGTCCTTGATGTCATTCCACAATTCATCTGATCTTCAGTCATTAGTGTTCAATGCGTCAAATCTGTTCTTGAGATGGTCTCTAAATTCAGGTAGGATACACTCAAGGTCATACTTTGGCTCTCATGGCCTTTTTAAAACTTTCTTCAGCTTCAACTTGAGCTTGCATATGAGCAACTGGTAGTTTGTTCCGCAGTCGTCCCCTGGCCTTGTTCTGACTGAAGATATTAAGATTTTCCATCATCTCTTTATACAGATGTAGTTGATTTGATTTTTGCGTATTCCACCTGGCAAGGTCCGTGTGTATAGTCGTCATTATGTTGTTAAAAAAAAGGTATTTCCAGTGAAGAAGTCATTGATCTTGCAAAATTCTATCCTGCAATCTCTGGCATCGTTTCTGTCACCAAAGTCATATTTTCCAACTACTGATCCTTCTTCCTTGTTTCCAACTTTTGAATTCCAATCACCAGTAATTATCAATGCATACTGATTGCATGTTTGATCAATTTCAGACTGCAGAAGCTGGTAAAAATCTTCAATTTATTCATCTTTGGTGTTAGTGGCTGATGCGTAAGTTTGAATAATACTCGTATCAACTGGTCTTCCTTGTAAGCATATAGATATTATCCTATCACTGACAGTGTCGTACTTCAGGATAGATCTTGAAGTGTTCTTTTTGACGAGGAATGCAACACCATTTCTCTTCAAGTTGTCATTCCCATCATAGTAGACCATATGACTGTCTGATTCTAAATGGCTAATACCAGTCCATTTCAGCTCACTAATGCCTAGGATATTGATCTTTATGCGTTCCATTTCATTTTTGATGATTTCCAATCTTCCTAGATTCATACTTCGTACAGTCCAGGTTCTGATTATTAATGGATGTTTGCAGCTGTTTCTTCTCATTTTGAGTCATTCCACATCAGTAAAAGAAGGTCCTGAAAGCTTGACTCCATCTATGTCATTAAGGTCGACTCTACTTTGAGGAAGCAGCTCTTCCCCAGTTGTATTTTGAGTGCCATCCAACCTGACGGACTCATATCAGACAATGTTCTGTTGCTATTCATCCAGTTTTCTCTGGTTAATTCTTTTCAGAAGTAGACCACTGGGTCCTTCTTCCTAGTCTGTGTTAGTCTGGAAGCTCAGCTGAAACCTGTCCTCCATAGGTGACCCTGCCACTATTTGAATACTGGTGGCACAGCTTCCAGCATCACAGCAACACACAAGCCCCCACCATATGATAAACTAACAGATGCATGTTATGTACATATGTATGTATTAAAATATAGCTAAGTTTTTATGTAATGTTTCCAACACCCAAAGACAAGTAAAGATTGGATTTATAAAGACATTGATAATAAAAAGCAGTCATAATGAAAACTTAAAAAAAAAAGAAAAAAGGTACGTGACTTAACGTCAGAACGAGACCTCGTCGTAAGTCAGGGAATACCTGTACCACTGCTTAAGCCATTCACTTCCTGACAAACATGTGGGTTGTTTCCAGATTTTCGCAATTATGAATAAAGCTTGCTATAAATATTCTTGTACGAGATCTTTTTGTACATACCCTTTGATGATCAAATGCCTAGGAGTAGCCATACTGGATCATAATGTAGGTGTGTGTTTCACTTTCTAAGAAACTACCAGAGCTTTTTCCAAAGAGATACGCCATTTTATGTTCCAACCAATAGTGTCCGAGAATTCTGGTTGTTCACAGCTCTCAACACTTGGCTTTGTCAATCTTTCAAATATTAGCCATCCTATGGGCTGTGGTTTTGGATTGCATTTCCCTAATGATTAAGGACTGACCTGAGCATCTCTTCATGTGCACATTTACCACTCCCATTGCTTCTCTGGTGAAGACTCTTCAAATCCTGCCCATTTTTTAGT